GTCAGTGGCACCATTCCCCCAGCAGTGCTTCTAGTCCCTGCCTTGCTAATAATATTTGCTTTAAGAGGTCTTGATGAGTCAAGGATGAAAGTCCACAGCCTGCCAGCAACGGGAGCGAGTGCACGGAGTATGTGCTAACAGAGGATGCCAGGAGTGCAAGGTGCACCTCAGCTGAGCTGGTGGGACCACGAGCCAGCAGCGATGACTTGGGGCAGAGCTCACTGCTGTGCCAAGAAAAACGAAGGCAGCCATTTTCCTGCAGTGTGCTCCAAAACTGTCTGCGGCATCCTTGCCTTGATAGTTAACCAAAATAATAATTTGCAATCTTTTTTTCCCCCCAGTTGTAGTCTAAATCTAGGCTAGATCTGTTTTCAGAAGCAGTCTAATTTAGGCTCACACTTTAGTAAATCCTTAAAATTAATGATTTCTTATCTGTCAGCCTCCAAGACAAACATAGGTTTTCAGCAGAACCAAAAACTCAGCCAAAGCTCTCCATCCCAGATGAGGTCCACAGGGGGAAGTGTGACCCATCAGAATGCCAAGGAACTTGAGTCCAGCTTTGCAACTCCCTGCACATAAAGCCTGCATGTTCCTTCAGGACTTACATCCTTCACGTAAGTAAGACAGAGAAATTAAATCTATTCAGCAGGGAAAGCAGCCTTTTGCAAAGAGAAAATCCACATTTTTTCCTCATCTCTACCTCCCTGTTCAGATATGTCTCTTTGATGCGTCAAGAAAAATTAAATTCCAAGTTTGCAAGAATTAACAGCATATTGCTGCATTACAGAAGACCACAATCAGTACAGAGGATGAACAGCACGAGTCCACAAGGGCAGCTGTGGCTTTATATCAGCTAAAGCGGTCACCATTTATTTTTCTTTATCTTGAAACTGATGGGTTTGCTTTTAAAGTTCAAAAGTATTAAAATGGGATCAGACCCTTCAGTGGAAATAAAACAACAAAATCCAAGTCTCTTGGTTTGTTTAGAAAGGCCAACCTTCTTCCAAAACACTCCTGATTTTAATTGATTTATATGCTAGACAAACAGTTAAAAAGAAAAAGGAGCAGACTCCCGGCCATTTTTGCACCCAGTAGGACGCACTGGGCAAACAAACTCGTATTCATTATTTACCTTGGGGCAGGACCCCGACTCCTTAACCAGGTTAAGGGCCCCATTGTGTTAATCTTTACATTAGTCCAGCACAACGTGCCTCATAATTAAACAAAGTGATGTCAATCCCTCTTTAGTAAGGGGGCTGGGACAAATGCCACCAACCCCCTCCTCCCCAGGCAGGCACCATGGTACAATCTGCCACCTCCCATAAATGCTGCCATTCGTCTTTTCTTTAGATGCATTGCAGGAGTATTTCCATATAAGCCTTATTATAATAAAAACGACAGTGTGACAAACAGCTTTGCAAATAGGTCTGCTGCTCCAACAAAGCACAGACACAACACGCTGATTTGCAGCAATACCCCGCAAAATTCACAAGTGCTACTAGTTGATTTGAAACCCAGTAAATTTAGGTGGTTGCTTTATCTTCTTCATCACGACACCTATTTCCTTGACAAAGCTGAAGAAGTGGAACATGTGCTCAATGCCTGCAACTGTTCCCCCAATCCTTTCCTTCTCCTCCCCTCCAATTTACATTGATTACAGGTTTCAAAGTCTTAGAGATTCATTTTTAAGTTCTGTTTAAAATGCTGATTTTTACTTGTTTTCTTTTCATCTAGATCAATAATGCTCAGATGATAAATATGTACCATTTACCATTTATACTTTTTCATCTTATTGAATATTCTACAGCAAGCCTAAGAAAAATCAGTTCCTGGATAGCACTTACATTTCTCCTCTCCAGCCTATTCCCTGTTTTATCTCTAACACAATACATGAGCCTGAGCGTGTTCTATTAACGCAGACACCCGTTATAACGTTCAGACATTAAGTGCAGCAAAAAGGAACTGCATCTTAAAACGTTCACTGCTCATTAAAAAGTTTGTCTAATTTTATGATGACAGTTCAGCGCATACATTATTCTCTGCGAAACAGTGCCCCGGTGTTAAGACACCACCACATCAGTTTTCTATTCAGTCTTCACCGAGAGATGAAGAAGCCACCATTTTCTTTTTGATACATGCAAATTAAATTGTTTGTCTCTACAGAAAGTGTAAACCACAGAGAATTCTGCTTTTCAATGGCGATACTGTCACCTAGCATTAAAAACAAGTATTAATTTGTAAATCAACCTCCTCAATCGTGTTCAAAGGAAGTAATTAAGCATTTAATGTACTAACAAACCAGCACAAATATTAGTTCTGTTTCCAAGGTATCTCGCAACCATATAAAATTCCCCTCACGCTGATGATCTGCATCAGAACAGACTCTTCTACACCATTTTCAATAGATGCAGGCTTACCAGGGTCTTGCACAAGCTATGCAATTTATACTGTTTCAAATTTAGCAACACATAAATAACTGCTTACACATATCTGGGACTATTAGACTTGATTTTACATTCTAGAGCATTAAAAAACAACAGCGTCTTGTCAGTATCCTGCTTACGAAATGCTACAAATTCTTTAATAGTCATGCAGCATTTTCAGCATTTAAAAAAAAAAGCTCAAAATCATTTTTCTAGCAAGAGCATTTAGGAATGCCTTACCTCATTAAAATAAAGTTTTAAACAATGTCTACATTTAACTTACATAATGCACTGGGTTTGCTGTAATTATCTAGCAATTCCAACTATTCAGTAATACAGGAGACTTAAAGCACAGCTTAGGAACAGGAAGATTTGTATTTTCCAGCAGCCCTGTGAAACTCTGGTGAAGTTAGTTCGTTGCACTGACAAGAAAAGAAACCTCAAAACCAGTCAGGCAAAGTAGTTTAGCAGCTGTATACAGGGCTTTCTTTCGCTCGAGGCTTCAGTAATTTCAACAGGCACAATTTCACAAATCATCTTTCAAACTCTGAATAGCCGTGCTGCGATAAGAACCAAAGCCGCCAGAGTCGTGGCTCTCCAGTAATGCACAAAAATCCCGATATACAGGGCGGCGACTGAAAGATACATTCATTAACTTTGTTTTCCTGGTTTTAAAAAGGTCAAGTGGGATGCTGACTGCCAGTCAACCACTTTGTTTCAGGCATTTTTATTAGACAAAAGGCTTACAGTTAGCACTGCATTGTGCCCCACCCAGCTGGCTGAGAATTGTCATCTTCTCACTCCATTAGGCTCTAGGGCTGTATCACAATTTCCTAATTAAGCATTCCCACCGATACATGTGTCTACCTTATAAACACACTCTGTTCTTTCCCTCCCCTCCTAAATAATCTTTTGGCAGGTCAGACACGAGGAGGAAAAAAAACCAAAAAAAACCAAACCATGAATGAAACAATGAAGGAACAGGATAGTACTGATCTTTTCTTGTAATAACGTCTTGCATCTCTCCCTCCCTTGCTGGTTTCTTAAACTAGGAAACCACTTCTTTAAAAATTAATTACCAGAAGGAAAAAACCCAACCCTTCTTCAAAGCACCCACTCCTCCCCAAAACCAGGCAAGCCTATATTGGTCAATTTCTTATTCTAAATATATTTCAAGAACGGGGATTTTTCCATGCACACATCCTGCATCAACCTCACTCTATCTGCATATGACATATCAAATGCAATGGGTGCAATAAGATGAAGTAAATAACACTCTTTTCTCTCCTTGCACCATGCATACATATTGACACCACGCAAATGCACAGTATGTGAAAAGAATGTTAAAAACTTAATGCTTGTGAAATTATGAGATTTTCAATAAAGCCATGAATTTAACCATTCATGAGAACAGTAAATGGCAAGTTTATCATGAAAGAATGTCACATTTACTTAGCCTATTTATGTGGTTTGAGGCAGCCATACCTTATCATGAAATACCAAGAACACACTGTGAGAGAATATTGAAGACACTGCTAGAGTACAGAAAACAATTTCTGTTTTTAAAACAATTTAAAGTAATAGAACATTTTCCCAGGTTTATGTACTCTCAATTTAACTAAACCCCTCATCTATATTTTAAAATGCAAGCCTCTCTAACAATGGCCAAAAACAATATTATGCTAATACAAGTCAAAACAGAGCATCTCCTAGCTTGATGGATTACAGGGGATATAGTCAGGTAGGACACAGTTTTCATGAGAAGGCCCAGTTCCTCCTTTCCTCCTATTTTTAAAACTGATCTTTATGAGCACCCATTATTTTTCCTCTCCACAGCATCTTTTAAAAACCGCTCTCACATAGCCAGGCAGCCATCATGCCTAAATGCAGCAGCAAGAATTTTCAGAAATGTGAATTTTTTTACCTTCTTTTCAAGGTAAAATGCAGGCATATTGTGAAGAAACCTTACTTCTTGAACTAATATTCCTCAGGGTGTATTTGACAGAGTCCTATGAACGCACAATGACTTAACCTGTGGTGAAATGCAGCCAACTCTTCCCTTCTGAACGCGCATTTAATATGTCAATGTTTCATGCTGGTAAAACAGTTTTCATTCTTTTTACATTAAAAAGACTATTCTCATGTTAAATAAGTTGAATTCGTTGCCATACCTTACTTTTGCTTTTCAGTTTTCATCTGTTCCTTGACTGTTGAGTGGTATAAATGGAATCCTTGGGGTACCTACCTTCCAACGTTTTAATGGTTCAAGCAAGGCCATAACATTGTCACAAATTATTTGAAATACATCTCATTGTTTAACAGGGGATAGGTGCTGATAATGCAAGCACTGGAAACACAGGTAAATTCTTTCCTAGTTACTTTTTTTTTTTTTTTGGTATGAAAAGTAGAGCCTTTCAGAAATTACCCATGATGCCCCAGAACCAAAAACATCTGCAATATGCTATGCTCCCCGTTTGTCGCAATCAACCCACCTATTTAAAGCGGGGGGAAGAGACCATTAATAGACTAAAATACACACACAAACACAAAATTCATGGAAAGATCTCTTGTACTTACACATTGCACGGAGCCGCATGCAGGAAGGCAGCTGTGTCAGTGCCAGCCATGTTGAAGACCTGCAAGACCCAGGTATTTGTGAAGATGTTATTTGATGGCTTTGTGACTTTCAGCCGTAAAATATCCCCTTCTTCCCCAGAGCCACCTACGATTTTCCTTATGATGTTCTAATTTTAAACGTGGTGTGTGAGAGACAGGGTAAGGAGAAATGTTCTAGGTATTTTAACCTCTTGATGCTACAGCTGTAATGCAAGAATGTTTAAGAAACACCTGAAATGTCCCTTCACAAGTAACTATTTCTTTCCTGCTGAAGCAGAAAGGGGGCCAGGGATGGGGTGGGGTGGGATAGGGAGAAAGCAAGCCCTAGAGCCAAGCAGTTCACACCTTCAGAGGTAACGACCCTGCTTGGTTAGGACAAGCGGTAGGACACACAAGGTGACATTTAAAATCAAGGTCTCCTTCTCAAACACTTTTTTCCCTCTTCTCCCTCCAAGTAGGTCACCCCTCTCAGCTGATTTTGTGTAATTGGTCTAGTTTGTTAAAAAGCAAAAAGAACCCATCCTGCAGCACATGCTGCCAGGAGAGCTACTGCCCTACTGCAGAGGGAGAGGGCTTGCTAAAAGCCATTATTGCTACAGGGGAGCATCACCCACTATGACCATTTTAGACTTCTTCCAGGAGAAGCAGCACAGCAAAGGCGTTTCCCGGTGGCTCCCTGCTAATGACCGCACCGAGCTCCAGCCTGGCCACCAAGCCACGACTGCACGAGGGCAGCCGAGCCCTCCTCATCCCGAACTCCGGCGCTCAGGCTGCACCTTGGCATCATCCCCCCTCCCGGGTGACAGCGAGACGCGCTGTGTCGGTGCGGAAGGCTCATTGCTCATTCCCCTCGCGCAGTCCCTAGGGAGAGGTGGGCGCTCTGGGATGCTCCCTTGCCCGGGGAACAGGCGGCACCGCTGTTCTGGAACCTTCCTGCGCATGCCAGCCCTGTGCCTGCATCCCAAAATCTGCCTGGCAAAAGCGCGCTCCTGGAAAGCGGCTGCTCCTCCCGACACACCAGCAATCAGAAGAGGGCTTTTTCATGCACTGTATTTCCCAACGAAACCTTAAAGTAATTAATTGTGCTTTTGCTTGCTCCTTATGGGGTACATAGTGGCTAGAATGTGATGCTCCCTAAGTTTGGAGGAATTTTAACTAAAAAAAAACCCGACAAAACCCAAAACCCAACTGAGATCAGAAACACACACCCCGACAACCGAGGTACAGCAGTGCCCTTTTCCCGCAGCTGCTCTCAGGGACGCGTGTCCTGCAAGCCCTAGGCGTGCAGCC